CTGGGCGCTGTCCCTCAGCTCTTCAGCTCAAGGCTAGCACTCTACCACTTGAGCCACAGCGCCACTTCGGCTTTTTTTCTTTTTGCTTATGTGGTGCTGAAGAATCGAACCCAGGGCCTCATGCATGCAAGGCAAGCACTCTACCACTGAGCCACCTTCCCAGCCCCAAAATGAAGTATTCTTTAATGTAGTTACATAGGAGCAACAATATGTGGAGAACGATGCCAAACCTGAAGAGTAAGAAAAAAACTAAAGAAAATTATCTTGAAGGACTTGATACGCATGTCTCTGAAAATATGGGGGGAGGAATAAATGCATAAAGGGAAGAAGCGAGGTCGAATGCAGTCAAGAACTCATTGCATATACTACAAAATTAAGAAAAGTAAGAGCAGGAGTAGGTCCGGGTAGGTACTATTACTCTTCATTGAATTTTTTTTAAAGCAGCAGCAATCTCCAAATGTAGCAACACCCAGGAATACCACTTGACCTAAGAACAGCAAAGACAATTTCCATTGCATTTTTACTGTTGTGTTGTTTTTTTTTTTATCCATTTCTAGGCCACAATTCTGTTATGGATTCAATACATATTTGTGAATATCATTACAGTTATGTTCTTTTTTATTAGTAAGTTTTTATTGTGAAAATGCCTTACAGAGGGGTTACAATTATATGAGCAAGGTAATGTATACATTTCTTATCAAGCATTGTTGCCTCCTCCTTTCTTTCTCCTTCCCATCCCTTCCCATCTCCCCCTGTGCCAAAGTTGTAAAGTTCATTTTTTGACATAACTAGCTATGTTCTAACTACTCTTACTGTGATTTGAAATACATAATATGTCTGTAACGATGAAACATTCCTTTGGCTGGAACTGTCACACTTCTTCTATTCCATGTGTTTTGCAAGATAGAAAAAATATGGTTTTCTTCATGCTGTTGTAGAGAGCACCGCTAGCACTCAACAGCCTACAGAGTTCATTGCAGCTGTGCTTACCCATCTCCCCCAAACTTCACTGTCTGTTGAACTGGAAAGTATCTGAAGTCTTGCTTGATCATCTGCCACACCCTTGCTTTACCTCATCTTTTCCAGATAGTCTTTTCATCAAACTAGAGGGCTAAAACACTGTATTAGTTAGTGCAAGTACTTATATTTGTGTTAAAGCTCCAGATGCAGTCCTGAGAGCTAAATGACATGTCTGTACATTCTGCTTAACATCAGTAAAGTAAAAAAAAAAAACTATAGACAAAAAAATGTGTACCTAGATAACATCAGCATCTGAATTGTACAGTAGGACTCCCCAGTGTATGTTTTCATATCAGCTCACATCCATAGTCATCCGAGTCATGTACAGAGGATTACCTGTCGAATCTGAGACACAGAATACATTGGATCCCAGTGAAAGACCTCAAAATAATAAAGAATGATAAATCAAAAAAATCACAAGAGCCAGGAACTGGTGGCTTACACCTGTAATCCTAGCTACTCAGGAGGCTGAGATCTGAGGATCGTGGTTCAAAGCTATTCTGGACAGGAAAGACCATGAGACTCCTATCTCCAATAAACCACTAGAAAACAGGAACTGGTGTTGCAGCTCAAGTGGTAGAGTGCTTGCCTTGTGCTGAAGAGTGCAGGGATAGCGCCCAGGCCCAGAGTTCAAGCCCCATGACTGACCAAAAAAAAAAAAATCACAACAATGAGTCCTCCAGACTTCTTCTAAAGATCTTAATATATAGCAGTGATCCCATCTGCAAAAAATCAGCTAACGTTAACTATGAGCACATCAATCAAGAATTTTTGTCATGAAGCAAATAGGGCTATTATGTGAAAATAAACATTTTAGGATAATTAAAAATATGATAGAAAATTTACATGAGCTAAGGCACAAAACGTTTACTACAATTACCATTTCAAATTTCTCACACTAGAAAATAATTCTAATAAAAATGTTAGAAAAGATTTTCAACTATTATTCACTATCTCAAACAGTAAGAGTAATACTCTACATAGATGTGTATGTATTTAGGGCTGGCACTGAACCCTGCAGCTTTTGTGCTCAAGGCTAACACTGTATCATTTGAGCCACAGCTCCACTTCTGGCTTGCTTTCTTACTTCCATTTCCTTTCTTTTCTTCTTCTTCCTCTTCCTCCTCCTCCTCCTCCCTCCTCCCTCCTCCTCCTTGATTTTAATTGGAGATAAGAGTCCCTGAATGGGCTGGCTTAGAACTCTTAGAACTGTGATCTTCAGATCTCAAACTCCTGAGTAGCTGAGATTACTGGCATAGGCCACAATGCCTTGAAACATATGAGTAATGTTTCTGAATTTGTTTAAACAATATTTTCAAATATATGATGAAGACCTTGGGAGATAAAAAGATGTATTTACTCTACTCATTCTACTATGATACAGTAAAAGCACTTATATATGCAAACCTTCTCAGCAATTACTTGATTTTCCCTTTGGTAGCAACTCTCCATCTCAAAAACAGAAGTCATACAGGAGGTTGGTGGTGTTCTGGTTCTCTTTACCCATTTCAGATGATGTCATCTACATTGGAACATCTTGGGTTGTCCTCCCTGTGACCATGGAAATAAACAGCCAACTGTACCAGGGCCTGTGCTTATCAACTATATATATATATATATATATATATATATATATATCACAATCTGAATAGAAAGTAATTAACAAGCATTAGAAGGATGAGACAGATGGAAACAGAGTTAGAAGAGATGAATTCCCTGAGAAAGAAAGCTTTGAGCTAAGTCCTTGAGAATAATTTAAGATGGAGAGAGTTTTATATATACATGGTGGAGACAGGCATAAACAAAAAAAATGCAATGAGCCTTGATTAAAATTGAAATGTTAGATGCAGTTTATAAAAATAAGTAAAGGAATAAATAGATTGGTGATTAGATTGTCAAGAAGTATCTTGGTTATTTAAAAGTAATAGCATGTGAATAGTATCTTTTTCCCTACAAAGATTTTTTTTTTTGCCAGTCCTGGGGCTTGAACTTAGGGCCTGGCCACTGTCCCTGAGCTTCTTTTGCTCAAGACTAGCACTCTACCACTGGAGCCATAGCGCCAGTCCCAGCCTTTTCTGTTTATGTGGTACTGTGGAATCGAACCCAGGGCTTCATGCATGGTAGGCAAGCACTCTACCACTAAGCCACATTCCCACCCACCCTATAAGTTTTTTTTTTTTAAATCATAGATCTGTAACGGTATTTTACCTTCTATTGACTATGATCCAGAAATTATTCTTTAGATATATCCATAAATACAATGGAAACCTATGTAGATACCAACTTGCAAAGTATATACAAAGTTTAAATGGAGAAATATTTATATTATTCTTTATAGTAATGAAGGTAAAATTAGAATTTCATCTGATACTCTTTTGCTAATCAGTGTGCTAAACGTTTTTCTTCCACTTTCTTATAACCTCAAGACATGAAAAGTCTGGATTTTTCTGTAGGAAAAAACTGTTCTGGCTTTCTCAAGCAGCATATAAATTGAAAATCTCAAGCACTCAGGCTTGTTAAGGTAATTTGTTAGAAATAGAAACAGTTACAGATAAGAATCTGGTAGGATTTCATTCAAACATAGCTCAGATACTTAGTTTTGTGACAATCACCTGAAATTCCACATCCGGCATGAGTGGTGGGAGGATGAAGCAAACAGCTGATCACTTACAATTCCCCTATTTAAATTCAGTCGGAGGGGTGGGGGGAGATTTGGCAAAAATCTCAGTATAAAAATCTTCCAGGAAGATAAAGTGTGTAAGATTAAGCCATGCCTGAGAAAGGCAGTTGGGATCTTCTAAAATCTGTTGCAGTTACTAATGTTTTGTGGAGCAAAATAAAAGAATCCATGTAATTCTTACACCCTGTCATGCAGCAGAGAACTTCTGTATAGGTTCCTAAGTTAGGCAAACATATAAGTAAGACTAAAACACGTAACAAACTTCTGCATCAGCAGATGCACACAATCACCAGATGTGCTGCTTTTCTAACTCTGGGTTTGTCCTCTATAAGGGAAAAAGAAATATTAATCATTTCTTTTTACTGCTAAGGGGATGGGTGCTGCTCTCATATTTCAGAAAGGGGCTGGAAAGTGAGGGAAGCCAAACTTTTTCCTATTTAAGGCCAAAGCAAAGGAATCTCAGTGGCTGAGTTTTATGACGGGCCCGGTGCTGAAGGGCAGGGGACAACTGATGGTGCTACTTTGAACTGCTTTTGCTTTTCTCCTTTTTGCACAGAGAGTCTCATGTCTGCTATTTAGACATGATGAGCTTTGTGCAAAAGGGGAGCTGGTTCCTTCTTGCTCTGCTTCACCCCTTCACTGTTATTTTGGCACAACAGACTGGTGCAAGTAAGTAGGTACAGATTTCAACAAACTTTATGGGTGGTTGTTTTCTTTTTATCTTTACTTCTCCTTATAAAGGAGTATGAAGGGGGAAAATCAGCCTCTTGAAAGATAATTTCCTCTTAGAAACCTCCAATTGTTCAATGGGATACTGATTATAGTTTTGCTTCTTTTATCTTTGTGTTAGAAAAGAATAACTTCATATTGGCATGTTAAAGTTCTGTAGTTGTTTAAGGTAAATGTTTGCTTGCACTAACTTCTTTTTTATGCTAAACTTAGTAAAATAGCTTTAAAAGGCTTGATTGTTAACATCTTGGAATGTTTCCCTGGGCAGTCTGGAAGTTATTGGACCCCTGTATTAGTTTTATGTTCTCCTTTGTGTGCTGGTTCTCTGTAAGGTTAGGATGTTGAGCAAACTGTTAATATATTTAAAACAAGTATACATTAAGAACAATCTAATGGTAATTATTGTGCATATTATTAAAATTATTTTAGATTTATTTTAAAATGGCAACAACAAAATATCTATCACTCTTCCTTAAATAAGTACATATTGCTAAAAATGTTTCCTCATTCTTGTTTTTATTGTGTTTCAAGAAAATTCAAGAGTAATTAATCCATAGTTTTCCAATAGCTTATGGTTAAGTGCCTTTATTGCCTTCATGTTCTGCTTAACTGCATTTACATTCAGTAAGAAAATATCTTTAAAAATGTTTCAACAGGAATGTTTTGACTTTTCTACAAACAAGGTAAAGTTATTAGATTTGTTTAACTTCAAAAAGGTTGACGTTCTATATTTTCTAGTAAGAAGATAGGATCGTTTCCATGCTCTTATTTCCCAAAATAATGCCACTTGTGTCATTATTTGCATTAAAATGTTCTTATAGAGTCATATTTTTCTTATAGTCAAAAAATATTGGACAAATTAAGAGAACAAACGTTCCTAGAAATAAATATTTAAATGTGAAGCTTAAAGATAAGTAAAATAAATCATAACAATTTTTGTATGCAAATATGTTTGTTAAACCTAAAGTTTTCCAAGCACTGTATGAGAATTATTTCCTTCTATTTATAACTTCGAGTAATTTTGATGTTCTCACAGAAAATGTATGCAAGTGTGGGTGGAGGGAAATATTCAGTCATTTCTTTAATTGTAGTCAGTTCATAGCCACAAAAGAAGAGAACCACCCATATTCCTTGTTCATTAGTTTCCTCTTCTCCTCAGCCATTCTGCCTCTATTTCCCCTCCCCCTCCTTTTTCCACCCCCTTTGGCTCCTCAGGAGCCCCCCACCCCTTTCCCTGCCTCACTCATCATCCAACCCCCACTGCAGGCAAGTCCTCCTCTCCTCCTCGCTCCTCCTCTGCATTTCCTTCCCCGGCCACTCCCTCCCTGCTCCCCTGGGCCTTCAAGCCTCCATCTGCTTTATTTTTCTACCATCCTTGCTTCTCTTCATTTGACCTCTCATTTTATTTCCTTTTCCCTTTCTTCCAGTGGCATAGTAAGATGCCATTCTACAAGTTCCAGGTCTTCCCTAGGATACCAAGTGACTCATACCCTTCCACACCCCAGGAAAGATTTCAATTTTGGAGGGAGGGGAAGAGTTCTCAAATATTGAAAAAAAAGCTACCAACTTGGGGGGGGGCTTGTTCAAGATTACAATTAATGTTTATAGGTACCTAGTAGTTCCAAGAACTGGAAGATAAAAGCAGTATAGTTTTTTTGTTTTGTTTTTCAGTCCATCTATAGAGAAGAAGAGTGTTGGATGCCTACATAATCTTGACAACACATAAGTTCCTTTTCTGTTTTCTCCTTTTTGTTTGTGTGCTTTTAAGCTTTATCAAAGATGAAAAGGAATTTGTTCAGCTTACATTTTGTTTTGTTGTTTGAAGTGAAAAAGATGTTTAGATGTTCTAAGACAGTTTATGTTACATTCACTTGGTTTTTTTGTTTTTTGTTTTTTTTTTTGTATCAGAATATTCTTCCTGTGGATAAGCTTTGGGGAGGCACCAGGAGGTGCTAGACAGGGAGCTCACTGAACAATGATGCACCTCTGGGTTGGTTGTCTGGAATATGTTTTAGCAAGCCCACAAACAGAACAGCACTAAAAAAAAAATTAACTTGTAGTGTTCTCATAGGAGTTTTCTGGAATATAAAACATGTCTCTGCAAAAAAATTTGGTCTTCTTACAGATTTGTGAAAGCTTTATTTTATTCAAGAGTTTTATTCCAGCAATGGAAAAACGTGGTCTGTTTTATATTTCCTGTGGTTTATAAACATGCCAGATTTTAAGTGCAAAGGCATGCCACCTAGTGGCTGAAAGGCAAAGTACTACAATTACAGGCATAATGCTCAGTATCTTAGAAGAGATTTGAAAACAATGTATATGTTATTAAAATTATAAGTTACTAAAATTCTTCAGCCCCTGAAATATTACTGTTTAAATGTTTCCAAGCACACATATGAACACATGATACAAACATTCCAAGAATCTGTAAAAGTAAATTTAAAAGTAAGAAGCATTTTTTGGTCACATATTCAAAAGACTGATGTCATCCTTACTGGACATAAGTATATTGCCCGTTGCTTTTTATATAGATAGATGTATAGACAAAGGCTATGAAGTAATCTTGCTTCATTTGTCTGGAGAGGAAAACCATTTTAAGTAAGTATACTCTAATAGTTGAGCTACTATATTGCATTATGCTGATAATTCTAACAAAATTAACTGTGGACCTTTAATAGGTTTTTGCATACAAACCTGTGAGTTAACTCAGAAAATTGACTCTTGTTCAATGTTTTGAGAGACTATTTTCCATTTTGCTTAAACAATATACCACTGATAAGTTAAACATTTAAGCTTACTGCAACATGAGCAAATGAACCAAATGTAGCATGAACAATTGTACCTTTAAGAGGAGACAATATGTAATTGTTCAGCTTTCTAAGTATCAGTCATCAAACAGATTTTGTGTGTTAGTTGAGTGTATAAAAAAGAGAGAAGACTGGAATCGAAATTCTTTTAAATGCTAGATAGATAATTCTGGAATAGAAGACATTACTTATTTTGTAATTATGTGTCCTTAAAGGGATATATTAAAAATTATAAGGCAATACATGAATTCACACATTTGTAAAACTGAGAATGGGTGGATATTTTTTGAACTGGTAAATTTTTAAAGAAGAACTTCAGAAGCTTATGATCTAACCAAAAATTATTACTATTTCAGTGAAAATGTACATGAGAAATAAAGTACTATTGACACACATTTCATTTATTCATTCCTGATGCCTTGTATTTTTTGCCATCCCTAGAGTATTCTGCATCAGATGATCTAAAGGCCTAAAAGTACAGGAATTGTATTTAACTCTAGAATCCAGCAGCTGAGCATTATATGAGGAGAAAGTAACTTCTCTGGAACACTTCTGGGAAAGAAGGAAAGACATAGTCAATGCCATTTAACTATCATTCTGACTCTGGGTTACTGTCTTAATCATGATCACATCTTTTTTAAGTAACAACTATTGTCTATAATTTTATCAGAATAACAGTTAAGGCTAAAAGACAACTGTTCAGGAAAGCCCCAACCCATACCTTCTGTTCTAGGTCAGGCCTTGAGTTGTCACTCAAAAAGAAGATGCTAAATACTGAAACTCCATGGTTTCTATTTTGGATGATATTTCCTTTGTGCAGAGTTGTAAAGAGTATGTAGCCTAACTCTTATTTTGTGACATCAAGTGGGATCACCAACTTGAAGCTGTTAAAGTGGATTGATTCTGAGTTAAAGCTTTAAAGATGCAAGATGTTATTGCTTTTGCTAGACATGGAAAACATTTGTAAAGTTTCCAAGTCTGCAATAACTTTCTGGAAATGCCTCACTGAACAGTTTTTGAGAGAGCCAGAGAGGCAGGGGGCCAGGAGAAGGAAGGGATGAGAAAGAAGGAAGAAAAGAAAGAAGAGAAAAGAAGAAAAAAGGAAAGGACAGGAAGAGAAAAGAAAAAAAGAGTTATTTAATTTTCATTAGAGGGAGGAAGCTATTGCACTGTTCCACACTCAGAAAAAGAAATCATGTAACAGTTTTTTAAATTCAGAATTTCACTGCAAAAAGCTTTGCCTGTTTTATATCAAGATGGCAATGGAAAAAATGACATAGCTTCTTTCACACAAATCATTTGTTAACTTCAGTTTGGAGAGTAACATTAACCACCAGAAATTCTGTCTGTGCCTAATGAAAACACAGCAGAAGTGGATTCCTTTCAGATTAACTAATCAAACCCTTGTTTTTTTCCATGACTGGGGTCAAACACTGATGTTTAAAATGTAATCTTTATGACCGAATTGAAACATTCAAAGAGGTCAAAAGGTAAAAGGCCCTAAAGTTCTAAAAGTGAAAAGTAAATGATCTGTAAATTATTAAAAGTTAAATTTTCCTTGAAAGCTACTTCAGTAAAATGTCATATATTTTAATGACTTATTTTCTATGGTATTTCCTTATAGAAGTTAGAAGTTCATTGAATGAATCATTTTAGTAAGTATAGTTTCTGAAAATTAATGTCTTAATGAGTCATCCTTCACATACTATTTCCCAGGATACAGCAGCCTATCTGGTACAATCCTACCCTTGGCATCCAGTAAAATGTAGGTTGGGCTTCTCCGAGCCACATGTTCATTCTGTTGGTGGTCTGGATGTTATCAGAAAGAGCTCTTTTTCATAAGGTCAAGACAAAATAAACAATAGAGGTCAACTCTCTATGGTATTTTCCTGTTTTGAAACCAAGGAGAAAGATGGGTTGCAGAAAATGGTTATCCCTTAACAGTCTGTTGTTATTGTTTTTTAGGTCTCTTATTTTAAACATCCAGGTTTTCAGAACCATATGGAACAGATTTTTGAAGTTGGTCTCTTTAATCTTACCCACTTCTTGAAAACAGAAAGAGAATAGAATGCTGTCATCAAGAGTATCAAATTTAGAGACAGTCTTCCTAGATTCAAGTCTTAGTTTTACCCTTGATGATCTAACCTTGACAAAATTACAGTTTTTCACAGGTTCTTCATCTATAAGATGACAATTAGTACTGCTCACATCTCAGCCTTTGGAAGGTTAGGTACAATAGATATGAACCAAAAACCCTAGTATTTTAAAGTTGAAATTATCCTCTTATAAGATCAATAGATTGCTCATTCAAAATCCTTTCATTCACGTCTCTGGCATATTTTTATGTTAGTCTGATCAGTATATAACATAAAGAATAAATTTAATTAAAAATTATACTTTCTAAACATTGGTACTATCATTTTAAAGATAAACCAAACATATCTCAGTTGGAAATCACATGAACACTTAAAAACTTCAACTTTCTAAAGCAATAGAAAAATATGAAGTTAATTTATATAACACCTATAAATATTTAATATTCCAGATTTTGAAAGAATTCAGTAAGATCAGAAAGAAAATATTACCTGTCACTCAAGCTAAATTAACTTTTTAAGATATTTTAGGGAATATTTTATTTACTCCCCAAATGATATTAAGAAAAACACAATTGTACTAATATTTAGTCACAGCAAAAGATTCTTCCCATGCAACATGATTTAACACCATAAGAATGGAGGGAAAAGCCATCATGAAAGTGTGATTTAAGTATTTCAAAAAGTGTTACTTGGTTTTGTTTTTTTCTAGAGTTCTGAAAGAAAGCTAGAAGAAAGCAGGCAAATGTGAATTATGTCATATGCTAGCTACATTCTGTTTTATAGTTCAGGTGCTAAGGAGGAAGTGTGTTTCCCCCCCTAAAACATTGTAGTGTGGTAACAAGCAGTAATTCTAGTTCAGAACCTCCCTTTAATAAAGGGCACCAAATGACATCGGAGGTAGAACTGGAACAGGAAGACTAAGATTAAGCAACAATAAAAGAAGCACTGGGAAATCTATTCATTTCTCTTGTAACAAAAATGAAATTATTTGCCTTTCAGTAATTTTGCAAAAATATTCGGCTTAAATTTTTCAGCAAAGTTACTCTGAAAATAGCTACCTAAGAAAGGAATAATATGAGAAGACTTATGGAAGATGAATCTCATTTTCTATTCTATTTCTATTATAAATGATAACTAGAGCATTTAATTCTTAAAAACAACACATATTCCCCTTGGCTTTGTCATCGTTTTTCCATATATAACTAGGCACTTAAAATTAAGGTTATAGACATCTCTGCAAGAAGTTTAGCTTCCAATAAAACACACTGCTAACCATATATGGTCTAATACGTTAGAGGAAGCAACTCAAAGTTCCATTCTTTCACCAAAGGAGATCTAGATAGAGAAAAAGAGAAAGGGCTGATTACTACTTTTTAGGACACCCATCTTTCTTTCAAATGGATATGAAATAAATTACTGAAACTATTGGGTCTTCATTAATTTTGCTTTATTAGTCAAAACAACATAGCTCTCTAAAGTGAACTGACTATATATACATCATGTTAACTGTCATAAGCATGGCAAAAAATGCCCTCCACCCTCCTACCCCTGCCAAGCTGATGTCATAGTTGAGAATAGAATGCTGGTTATCAGAGCCTGAGGAGAGTAGGGAGTTTGGGACAATAGAGGGAGAGCAGTGGGTACCAATTTGCAATTAGATTGGATCAAGAAATCTGGTGCGCCATTACAGACATGGGTGACTATATAATGAAATGTATTGGTTATTTCATGAAACTAGAAGAAAGGATTTTATTAGTTTTCAGCAAAATAAAATGATAAACATTTGAGAAAATCAATATCTTTAACCTGAGTTAAACATTCTTCAAAGTTTCATATGTTTTTGTACAATATATTATACCCCATTAATATGTACAAGTTCATGTTTTACAGCTAAATCATAATATACTTGAAGCAAAAATAATGTAACAATAAGTTTATCTTCATACTAAGGCTTTGGTGTTACTTTTTAAGTTTTTTTTATGTTGGTTGATTTTTTTTATTTGGTGTTTATTTTTTAAGTTTTTTTTTAAATGTTCATTGATTTTTTTGACCCAGGTTTCTTTTGAGTTAGTCACTGTTCTGACTCAGCTTCCTGAGTGCTAGGATTACAGATACATATCATCAAACCTTTTGAGGCTTTTGTGTTTTGAAAAGAACATTAAGAAGGTTTCTAATGAAATTAAGAAAAAAGGAATTAAATAACTTTACTGATATAACATTGGACTTAATTTTTTGTTTTTGTTATTGGTTGTGGGGCTTGAACTCTGGGCCTAGGCATTGTTCCTGTGCTCTTCAGCTCAAGGTGAGCGCTCTATCTCTTAAACCACTATGCCACTTGGACTTAATTTTAACAAATTCATTTCTAGATTTAATAAGTCAGCGTTGTGCTGATTTATCCAATTTTATTTTTCAGAGCACATGGAAAATACTGTATTTTGATGATGTGAGATCACTCTCTCAGTGAGATAGAAATTAGAAAGATGAATAGAAATGGGTAAAAGATTCCTGTGAATTTAGGACAAATTAACATAGGAAACTTTTGCCATCAGTATTCCATAGCTGTTTAAACTATTGTGATCCAGTTTTAGAAAGAGAGAGAAAGAAAAGAAAAAGACAGAAAGGAGGAAAGAGAGAGAGAAAGAAAGAATGAGAGAGAGGAAGGAAGGAAAGAAGGAAGAAAGGAAGGAAGGAATAAATGAAGGATAGAGCTAAAAGAATAATCAACATTATCTACCAGTATTTTCCATGGAGTGGGAGGCAGTTTGGGAAAATCTTGAGCTAAATCTAATTTGAATTAATATTTCATGTTGATTTAAAGACTTGTTAAAAATGGTCCCCATTTTGAAAAAGAGAACCAAAACAAAGATGGAAGAAAGAATACGGTTCAGATAATTTTATTGAAGTTTTCTATCTCAGAATTTGCAACATTCTTCTACAATTTTTTCTACATCCTTTTATGTCAGTTCTACTTAGAGAAAAAAGATGAGTTTAATGTCAGCCTTTTCTCATATTATCATTGTTCATAATATGGAAAAGATTATTTAGTCTTCTCTGAAATATGTTTCCAAAAAATCACTCAAAAATTCTACTTCAGTTGAACTGAGGTAAGCCTTTAGTATTCAGTCTTTTTTGTTAGAGAATAATGAAATATTTTAGATAAATATATCTTCCCCATGTTCTCATACATCTGTTTCAGATATGGAAGAAGCTGAGCCTTTGTTTCCTGTTTAAAATGTCATGCAAACTCTCATGCTTTTATTAGCTATTACAATGGAAAATTATAACACAAAGTAGGAAGGGATTTTAAGCTTCTTGAATCTATCAAGAAGTTGCAAAGCAAATTGGTGTCCTTACATACACAAGGAAATGGGAAGCAATTTTGATATTCCATATAGTCTATACATTTTGAAATTCTACATTCAGTAGAACTTCAAGGACCACTGGAAGGCATGGTGGCCACTAGTCAACAGAACATATTTGTAAATGATTTAACTTCAAAGTAGACCTCCTTCAGGCATTATTTGAGAAAATAATTTTCACTGTCTCACAAAAACACAAAAGTATTTAATAGCCCATTGTTTGTAAAAAAAATCTTTACAGATGTTTAGAAACATATTTATTTGCTCAGTGACTGGCAAACTGTCATTACACTCTTGATAATTAACATTGTATGTTACCACAATCCCAGCTAAAGCTGTAAGAATTGAAACCAGGTTTTATGTTGGCAGCCCCTAAGCTGATTCATTGTTAATAACTGCTGAAATTTCAGTATCTTGCATATAATTAGCAATCAAAAATAAAATTTTGGTTGAAGTATGATTTTTTGATGTTTTAAGCCACAAATACATATGGTCATGATTCCTATTTTTTCCTACTGCTTTTACTTACTCCTTGCCAGTGTTGATTTTATAAATATCTTTTATTTTGACAATTTGAAAACTTCTTTACATCCATTTGGGAGATGTCCTGTATAGTTGATCTACTGATGCCCAACAAAACTAGCTGTGACATTCAATACACACAGTAAGTCTGTTAACATTTTCCCAAGAAAATCTGGTAGAGGTTTATACTGCCAAGATTAACTTAGTTTTCCCCTGTATTTCTCAAGTAGGTTAATAAAATCCAGAAGGTCTTCAGAGTTAGTAACAAAAAATCCTTGTTTTTGTTTAATGTTCCCATCTGCTGTTAAAGAAAAGAATAGCATTTGATTTAGACCAAGGTTTAACTTCAATTGCACATTAATAACAAATGCTGGCCTGCTCTGTGATATCCATTGGTCTTTATTTACTATAAATAAACTTAAAATGTCTGTTGTCTTAAAACTGAGTATGGTGTGCTGCTTCTATATTGATAAACAGATTTTGTCTTTTGAACAGTTTGACTACCTAGAAAATTATGTAGGAAAAAAATATGCTTTGCTAATGAAAGGGAGAAACCATTTGTTCCAAACTCTACTTTTCGTCTTGTAAATATTCAAGTTAACATAAGAAAGCTACATCTCCACAGGACATAAGGAAATGTTATATCCTCTAACTCATTTTCCAGATAATGAAGAAGGATGCACCCATCTTGGTCAGTTCTATCAGCCTAGAGATGTATGGAAACCAGAGCCGTGCCAAATATGCGTCTGTGACTCAGGATCTGTTCTCTGCGATGACATCATATGTGACGAAGAAACCTTAGATTGCCCCCATCCTGAAATTCCATTTGGAGAATGTTGTGCAGTCTGCCCACAGCCTTCAACACCAGTGAGTTAAAAGAAGGTTTAAGCTAAGATTCATATTTAAACACATGAGTATATCCTCTATCATAATAGGAGCTTGAAAAGAAATGGAAGTTGTTCCTCTCTCAGTCATGTTGGTGTGTAAAGTATAACCAAGGATTAGATGTGAATTTATAAACTTGTGCCATAGTTTGTAGAAAGAGGTTTCCATGTTTTGTTTAATTCTTGTCTTTCCCATTTCTTAGGCTCCTCCTGTAGTTAATGGCCAAGGACCTCAAGGCCCAAAGGGAGATCCAGTAAGTTAAGATTCTACAGCATCCTTCAATTAATGCTAATGATACTGAGGGAACAGCTGGCTCATTTTCTTTCCATATCCTTTCTATATCTGAACTTTTATTAATCATACCTACCCTTTTGCCTCTCATATTTGAATAGTGGACACACAAGTTGATGGTAAATGGCACACATTGAAAATCCATAACTTTACATACAAAGATTTAGATTTTCCAAGTTTTATATGTTTTTATCCCATCACCAATTAGAAAAACAAAACATAAGCACCTGTACAAAGAAATGTATTACACTTAAATTATTCACAAGATTGGTATATCATATATTTATTCCCAAGAAAATATATCATTTGTATTGATTTCTAATACTGTAAAAAAGAGAAACAAAAAAACAACCTGATAACTTTTGAATCACTGTGTCTTTTCCTATTACTTATTTTGTTGTCTCTGATTTGTTTTTTTTTAGGGCCCACCTGGTATTCCTGGGAGAAATGGTGATCCCGGTATTCCAGGACAACCAGGAGCTCCAGGTCCTCCTGGAAGCCCTGGCATCTGTCAGTCATGTCCTACGGTTGGCCAGGTAATAAATTACAAAACTAAAAAGAACCTGATTCATTTAGCATATATTACATGTCACAATTGCAAGTTGTTTGTAACTCTTCTCTTATTTGGTGTACTTAACACATCTTTATTTGGTTTCTTTATATGTGCTGGGTACTATTCTGTGAGCTGTAAAAGTAGTCCCTTTTTCTCCTAATGCTAATGCTATTGGTACTATCTCCTTTCAGAATTTCCAAATTTCTCAGTGGGTATTTCAGATACTCACTATATTTGAGAAATTCTACTCCCACTGGTAAGGTCTCTGAAAGCTTGGGCACAAAGCAGTGAGAGTGCTGTGAGCATTGTTTACTGACCTCAAATAGACAGGATTGTTCATACCTAGGTGGCTATTTCTACTAAGCCATCACCATAATCCTTCTCCTGAGAACTAGCACCAGACCTTCTCGGCACATAAATGACCAAACAAATAAATACAGCAAAGCGTCTGGCTCATGGTTCAAACAACGTTTAGACACAAATATTTATGAGTTTTAAAACAGTGCTTTTCAAAAATATTTTAGATCTCCACACCAGTAGTTCATACATGCAATCCTAGCTACTCGGGAGGCTGAGATGAAAAATCTCAGCTCAAATTCAACTTGGAGGGAAAATTAAATCTCAGATACTTTATCTTCAAAATAACTCATAAAAATCCAACGTAGAGTTCTGGGTTAGGTAATAGAGGAATAAAATAAAACAAGCACAAGGCCCTGCTTAGCAAAGAAGATTGTCTAGCTTATTCTTATGCTGGTAAGCAAGTAGGAACTATCTGGATATGGAGTCAAAATAAGCTCCAAATAAATTCGATGATCATATGAAACTTTCTTATTTTTAATTTGTTTTCTATGAAGATGCTTATTGTTTGGTGCAACCTGTAGGTTATTAAGCATATGTCCGAGAATTTAAATTTGACTTGTTCTATTAACTGAGATGAAGGCATCTTAATTCTCTACTTTTCAGTTCAAATCAAAAGTTTTATCTCAAGACTCTCAGATTCAAATATTCTGCACATCCTCTATAATAATGTAAAATTTTTGGAATAGTGATTCAATAAAAACATATAGGATTTTTTAAAAAAAACAAAAAAATATAGGATTTAATTTGAGGGGATTAATACTGAACACAGTTGAAATGATGGTATCTTAAACAAGCATTTCCATAATATGCCACATATTAAAGCCACAGAGAGACCTGGTGAACAAGGTAATGAACACATACCACATCTGCTACCATGCAAAGATCTTCTACAAGGGAACAATAATACTCCATAGAACTAAATGTTTTTGAAAAGAACTATGATGTTAATATTAAAATGATTACATTTATCTATTTGATTTCTTTACAACAGAACTATTCTCCCCAGTATGATTCATATGATGTCAAGTCTGGAGTAGGAGGAGCAGGAATTGGTGGCTATCCTGGGCCAGCTGTACGTACCAATGTTTCTGTGCATTTTAGAGTATCATTTAGCCTTTCTGTTTATTAAGTCCTGAGAGAAGTTCTTTTAGAAATATAGTCTTTTTTGAACTGTACAATGTAGCTTATTCTCTTGGAAGGTTGCAGAAAGAAAATGGGCACATTACCTTTTTTTTTTTCTTAACCTAACTCAGTTTTTCCTCACGGCCTCTCCTGTTATTGACCAGCTGAGTCAGAGGACTTACCCACCTCAGTGCTTTAGTGTCACACTCCTGTAGTCTCTAATTTGAGTCCCATGTTGTTTCTTTTTGTTTCCACTTTTCATCTTTCTTACCCAAGTTGTTTAGAATCTTCACTTTATATCAGTTTCTAGATAGTAATGTCATTTTCTTGATAGTGATCCAATGGAAATCCATCTCCCTCCAATTCTAAACCAAATAGAAATGTTTCAAGAATTCGATTTGTTAAATTATATATATATATATATATATATTCAATAATAGTGATTGACCTTTGAACCTGGGCTCTCTTCAATATAAATGACTTCGAGTTTTAATAAGAGAAAATGAAGAAGAGCATTAAACTTAAACATGTGTAGGTAGGGACAGTGATTCATGAAAATGAGTCTTGTTTTGCAATAGCTTCTCAAGAGGACCAATAGGAAGGAGACCTTTCTATTACTGACAGTGAAGCATGTCACTAAATTCCCAGTGATTATAGATAATTGTTTATACCACTGAACTTGATATTTGTGACTTCTCCAAATACAGACTATGAAAATTTTACCCAATAAATCTCACTAGCCTGTTTAACATCCTTGGTTATAAAATAAATGGGGGGAAGGGAGAGAACTAACAAACAAAAACACTGTACAGGTTCTACTGTGATATTTTTGATCTTTCAAAGCCACAAGGAGAATTATATAAATTTATATAAACATTGGATCCGAGCTATGTACACACTATAATTCTATTTTGAATAAGATATGAAAAACTAAAGTATCACTGATTTTAGAAATGTGATCATGGTAGAAAATTTAATTATTAAATATTGTTTAATAAATTCATTGTTGCTATTTAGAAGTAGCCTGTTATAAAACTGGCTTTTTAGTTTAATTTGTATTGATGATAAATCAATGTGCTATAAACTTAAGTGTATAACAATGTCTGGTGTATGATGATTCTCTTGCATAATTCTTTATCTCCATGTCAATCTAATTCTGTGATATTTTACATAAATATAGTTATAAATCTATGGGATGATTTACATAATTATTTTAGAGATTTTGATCACAGAACCTATAGTATAGAGATAGTTATCTTCCATGCTGAGTTTGGCTGCCAGAAAATAAATTGGTTTCTACATAGCTCAGGATAATCTTTAAGGGATAAGGTCAGCATTTTGTAAGACAATTTTGATTGATTCTTGTGTAATTTCATTTAGACTGATATTTAAATGTATTTCATATCCATTTGCTTAGTACTGATCATTCAAATTTTTACTTCAGGGTCCCCCTGGCCCCCCAGGACCCCCTGGTACCTCTGGTCATCCTGGCTCCCCTGTAAGTATAACCATAGTTCTATGCTTTCCTTCATGAATATACAAATCAATTTACTACGGATTGTGATATAATTAGCCCTTCCACCAGCCATAGTCCCAGTTAAGATTTGTATTCACAATGGAGAAACTGATTTCATTTTTTACATACTTAAAGTTTATATTTACTTCCTTTTTTCCTACACTAATTAGTGATTCACGTCTTGGGACTGAACAGGTAATATACCTGTAATCCTAGGTTTTCAGGAAGCAGAGATTAGGCAGTTTGAGATCAGCCTAGCAAAATGTTCACAAGGCCCTATCTCAAGCAATGACAAGATGTGGTGGCATATACCTGCCATCCTATCTTTGTTGGGAAGGAAAAGAGGTAGATTGAGTCTAGGCTCAAGTAGTCCAAGGTAAAACAAAGATCCAATCTCAAAAATAACCAAATCAAAAAGGTGAAAGTATTGCATAAGTAGTAAATAGGATATCTTGCTAGCAAGCATAAATTTCAAAGTTCAAGCCTAAATGCTAAAAAAGAACTTGATAAAATTAAATTGTATATTAGCTTGTAATATGGCTTTCCTTTTAGACTGAAATGAATGCATTAACTTTATTCTGACCTGAAAAGAATGGATCTTAGCCTTAGTAAACTTAACAAAACTTTCCTTAATACATTTACAAATTCTGGTGCATGGGTTTATTTTTACCGCCTTGAAGATATAACTGATTCATATGAATATTGTGTTATTTTGAAAATATGTACAAGTTATTCTATTCACTAGGGTTCTCCAGGATACCAAGGTCCCCCCGGTGAGCCTGGACAAGCTGGTCCCGCAGTAAGTAACAATTACCGTTAACAAATTTATAATACAATAGAGATCATTTGATTTCTTAATGGAAACTTTATTTTCTAAAACATCCATATATTCCTACAGAGTATACATGTTTATGATCAAATTTTTATGTAATAGATGCCATTTTATTATACTTGGATCCAAAGACCTTAGGAATTCCTAGTGAGTGATCACAATAATCCATTTCCCAGAGTTAATAACACAAACTCTATTAAATATTAATTTAATTTTATGTACACATATGTGTACAGATATGTGTACCAGTGTATATATATCTTAATGAAGTTAAAAATAAACATAATCTAAAGAGTCCTGCAAAAGTATTTGCCAGGCATGTAAGAAGTAAAGTAAGATTATTTTAATGTACTAAAGATCCTAAATATTTCCATATATTTAGAAATACCTGTATATTTATAGTCAATATATCAAAAATATAAAAAATATCTGTATAAACATGTATACATAGTATGAAATTTTTATGCTATGGTATATGATGCTTTTAGTTTGTTACAGTAAGTTTAATAAACAAGAGAAATGGATATAATAAGGATATATTAAGAGTATCATTTTCATGATGAAAGCTATTGAAACTAGTTTCCAAAATAGATGCTTGTTATGTAATAATAAAATGGAACCAAAATTTTAAAATATACTTTTTTATTGTCTTATTTTAGGGCCCTCCAGGACCTCCTGGTGCTTTAGGTCCCTCTGGTCCTGCTGGAAAAGATGTAAGTGTTAAAAAACTGAGGAGGGTAGGGTATGTCAACATTGAACCTGAATATTCTAAGCATCATGAGCCATACACCAGAACCTCAGAAGGAAAATCCATGAACAACTCGCTTATAGCCTCAGACCATTTTACTTCATAGTAGTAGTGGATTATCCATATTATATTTTCACATCAATAGACACCATTTGTTGACTTCTAAACTAACAGAACCCCACCAATGCTTTCCAACTGTCAAGAAGTGTCATCTAGAGATATTATCATTTAACTAGAGAAGGAATGCATTTCTTCTGTCTTACACTGGAAAATTTTCACATCAGTCCTTATAGGCTTGAAGACTTATAAACACCTTTAAAAGTATGCCATCCTCTCTTATTTATTTTTCAATGGCAAATTCCTCTCTTTCTATATCAATGGAAAGGTCTGAGAAACTACTCAATCTCACTACTTGGTTGACTTCTCAACCTAGGTTTAGAACAATTCTATTAGTGAGTTCTTCCTGAAAACAGTAATTAGATCACTCATTGGTTACAATGACTTTTGCTGTACAACACCCCTTAAGTGTTCTTTATTTTTTCATTTAGGGAGAATCAGGGAGACCTGGAAGACCTGGAGAGAGAGGATTACCTGGACCTCCAGTAAGTCTTTTATACCTAATAGGTGAATTAGTCACAATTCTGGTAAATTAAAATTATTGCACAATTATTTTTATTAGTTAAGCTTTAAAATAGAAGGCACTTTACTACCACATGCTTATTGTACTTAAAGATCCATAACATCTTTTCATCCATTACTTGTAGGGTATCAAAGGCCCCGCTGGCATGCCTGGATTCCCGGGTATGAAAGGACACAGAGTAAGTTGAATTCCTTTTTTGACTGTAAACTGTTCTACTTACTTACATTTAAGTTGTGCAGTCATCTTAGTTGGACAAATGAGTACCTGCTCAAAATAATTGATTGACAACTACTTGTTATTATCCTGCCCATGCAATTGTAACCCCTCTGTACAGTTTGTTCACAAATAAAATAAAATTAAATTAAAAAAAATCTAACAACTTGCATTGTTGACTAAACTAATATATATAATATAAAAATATATAAAAATATTGAGATTATTTTAAGCATATGGAAAGTATTGGTAAAGGGTAATTGGTCTTATCACAAACAGAAAATACATTATAAATTATGCTCTTCTCATGGACTTAGTTAGTATAATTTATAGATTGAGTTTAGCACTTTCATCTTTTTCATAATGAATTAAGGAGGTTTGACTGGATGAAAAATATATCAACTTAGTATAAATAAAATACAGCAAGGTATGTTTATTGCTGTTGTAGTTAAATCAACTTTCTGATTGGACCATATAGTACTTTCTAATTAGTTGCATTTATTTTCTTATGAAGTCAATGTCATATGTCTTGAATTGATTTAAGATAGTGTATATTATTTAAATGAGCAATGCAAAGAGTGCTATGTAGTAAAAATCTCATGAATACAGTTGAATGCAAAGTTTATCAACTATTCTGTGCTGTTTGTCTACTTCCTAGGGCTTTGATGGACGCAATGGTGAAAAGGGTGAAACAGGTGCTCCTGGACTAAAGGTAAACCCTCCCAAGCCCTTTTCTTGTAAGAAGATTCGTTTGCATTTTTAAACTATAGGCAAGATATACATTATGGGGCTTAACCTTTTCCTTATATTTTTCTGAATTCTACATGCCAAGAGTTAAAAACTAGTGTCATCCGAGTATTAAAGTCTCTATAAGCTAAAAACTTGAAAAGTCTACATGTAAGAGGGGGGGTCTGTTTAGTCTCCATGTTTTTAAAAGATAAGATTTTTTTCATAAATTACATATTAATAACAATTTGCTATTTGGTAATGAATTTTTTCTTTAGTTGCCATAATATTTTCATTCATACAATATTCTGAAACTATAAAAGAACCTAGCTGCTAAACCAATTAGTAACATGCTTTATACGCCTATGTGCAGGGTGAAAATGGTCTCCCGGGTGAAAACGGAGCTCCGGGGCCCCAGGTAACCATGCTCCTTATTTAATTTTCAGGATTAATACTAAACTAACTCAAACTTGGTTTGCCTCTTCCCAACTGTTGCTATCCATGTCAGGTTTAACATAAAATCATCCATTTTACTCTGCAGGGTCCAAGAGGGGCTCCTGGTGAGAGAGGACGGCCAGGTCTTCCTGGGGCTGCAGTGAGTATTTCTATAAGACTGCACTCAAAATCTCCACAGGAACATTTTAGCTATAAGTATACGGAAAGTGTTTCGGGTTTCACAATTGCTCTCTCTTGAATTTTTGAGTCATTTTGCTTGATTTCACGTATTCCATTAGAACCATTATGTCCTCATTGCCTTCTACAAATACAGAAGCCACCTCTCCATTGGATCATGGATGCATGTCAGATTTTAACAAGTTGACTCTCAAAACTTCTAATTAGTAATATGCTCTAGGAAGACTCAATTCAGTTGGGTTTAATTTAACCAGACTATCACCTATATAAGTCTTTCATAATTAAGAAAATATTTAAGACAAACTTCTTATTTTAGGGAGCTCGTGGCAATGATGGTGCTCGAGGTAGCGACGGTCAACCAGTAAGTGACTTTGTATCTATATTTTTGTTACAAAGTAATATATGTCACTCAGAGTAATATTTATGTATATATAACTCTGAGTAACATATATATATATACATATACATATATGTACATACATACACGCTTCATGTTGAAAAATTTTTATAATTTAGAGATTAAAATTGATTTGTTGTAATACTTTACTTGTAGACGCATAAACATCTGAGACCAAAAGCAAAATCCAAGTTTTTAAAAATGTTTATATTGCTGACATTTATATGGTATCCACAGCATTAGTTAGCCTCCAATAATGGATATCACAATTAAAACAGCCATTCAGAATAGATAGTAAGATTATCTCGATTTTGTAAATGGGAGTACAAAACCTTAGGATGAAGTACTCTATACAAAGTCACAGACTTTATGGTAGCAGGAAGAAGGAATACAAATGTTCTAACCTTACATTTCTGGTTTTCATTTACCACATTATTTCTCCATATAATATTTATCCATGAATGACAAATGCTACTTTTATTTGAATATATATGTTCTATATTTTATATGTGTCCATTTATGATTTACTAATACAAGTCATTGTTTTAATTAAGAGCTCTGAATATTCTACTTAACTTTTTCAGGGGCCTCCTGGTCCCCCTGGAACTGCAGGCTTCCCTGGATCCCCTGGTGCTAAGGTAAGCATGAGCTTCTTTAGAATATATGTCTTGGAGACAATACAAAGCATCAGTTTACTTCTTGCAACTCATTTTTCCAACCAGTCAAACTTCTTACCTATACATAACTTTAAATGTCTGTGCTTGATTCTAAAGAAGTGTTATCTCTAGCATTCAGCACTCTTTGTATGTCTTCTGATGTCTTCTTTTACCAGTTTCTTTCTGAGAAACAAATATTACATAGTCATGAGTATATTTACCATTTATTTGCATACATTCTTTGTTAAACTGTAGGGGTATACTAACTGTAGTACATAGCTGGTGATACACTGCCTATATGAGGCAAGATACATTTAATCAGAGCTGAAAAGTGATTAAAAGTGGCAAGTAAAACTAATTACTTCAGGTTTTATGCGTCAGGGTGAAGTTGGACCTGCAGGGTCCCCTGGTTCAAATGGCTCCCCTGGACAACGAGGAGAACCTGGACCTCAAGGACATGCTGGTGCTCAAGGTCCTCCTGTAAGTATCAAACACTCCATTTAAGAATAAGGGCTCTGGTATACTTGTCACTGCCAAATATTTCAATGTTTCTATCAAGAAAAATAAAATAAAATGTACAAATTTTGTTTAGTACCCTAAAATAACTAGTGTCATAAAGGTACTTATTGGATGAGTACTGAATATGGTAGTTTGTGGGAAGGGTCTTGGGTTATTCTAGAATTCACAAGTCTTATCTTTCTATAAAATTGGAGGATGGACAGTACAATTATCTGATATTTTGAAAAATGTGCCATAATCTCCAATTATGAATTTTTATGATAGGAGATTATGGTACATAAGAGATTCTTTAATAATCTATTGGTACATAATAGATGTTTTAAATGACTTAAGCCAAGTGCATATTATCCTCAAATTATTGAACTAATGATAACCCTTTTTACATATCATGGGTTGAACTATAGTTAGAAGAATCACCTCTTTGCTACACATGATGTGTTCCAATTATACTTATAACTCAAAATATACAATGTGAGCATTAGTTACAATATGCTCTCTTCTAGGGCCCTCCTGGGAACAATGGTAGTCCTGGTGGTAAAGGTGAAATGGTAAGCAGCCTCCATGTCTCATCCACATGCTCCTTTGTGAAATGTAAGTGAAATAGTCAGTCGAGTTCAACTTTTGCTGATGTGAATGTCCTTGGACTGCTTTTAGGGCCCAGCTGGAATTCCTGGAGCTCCAGGCCTAATGGGAGCCAGAGGTCCTCCAGGACCCCCTGGTACTAATGGTGCTCCTGGACAGCGAGGCAGTGCAGTAAGTTGATTTATTTCCTTTGTTATCTGAAGTCGTGGTTTAATGCTCATGAAACTGATTTGTTGCATTTCTTTTGCTCCTGTTCACTTGCATTTATAGTGGTTTCATTCGGTCTTAACACTCACTTAGGTCTGGCTGGTGGTGATTTTGTTATTCAAGTCTTCCCTCTTTCTAAGCCAAGATTTGATTTCACTTTTAGGGTGAACCTGGTAAAAATGGTGCTAAAGGAGAACCTGGAGCAAGAGGTGAACGTGTAAGTACTGCCACTACAGACTCCGCTATTGTTTGTTGAGTTATTTTTTTCTTCCTTTTTCCCATTCTTTCTCTCCTCTTCTTTCACTCTGTTTGTTTCTTCCTTTTGGTACTGGGGATTGAAGTCAGGGCGTTGCACTTGCTAGATGCTCTACCTTTTGGTTCACGCACTAACCCTTTCTGCTTTATTTTTTAGTCTTTCTGTTTCTTTTTCTTTGTCCGGGATGACCTTAAACACCAGCTGTCCTGGTTATGCCTCTTGCATAGCTGGGATTACAAGTGCAAAACACTGCACCCAGTTATTCGGTTGAGATCACTTTTTAACTTTTGCTCTGGCTGATCTTGATCAATAATCCTTAAATCTCTGCCTTCAGAATGGCATTTCAAGTGTGATTCAATGTGCTAAGCCCCAGGTTTGGTTATTTCTTTGAAAATTGCAACATAACTAGAAGACAAATAGCTAACTACTTTACAACTTGATTCAGTTGTGATGCCTTATTTTGTTTCCATTTTTTGTTTTAGGGTGAAGCTGGCTCCCCAGGTATTCCAGGACCTAAAGGTGAAGATGGCAAAGATGGATCACCCGGAGAACCGGGTGCAAATGGACTTCCAGGTGCTGCAGGAGAAAGGGTAGGTTTTCTAGTCAGGGGTCATCTAAATGAAAAGCAACACCATGTCATTGGATGAGACTTTGATGAGGTATTCAGCAATTATGGTATTCAGAATTTTACCTTGGATGAGGTATTCAGGAATTATGAACAAGTTCTAATCTTTTAGACTGAAATGTTTGACTTTCCTTATTTCTAGGGTGCCCCTGGATTCCGAGGACCTGCAGGACCAAATGGCATTCCAGGAGAAAAGGTAGAAAACTTTAGCTTCTATTTTTTTAAATGTTAATATTACAAATAGGTATTATGGAAGTGTTTCATTAATGCAAACCTAAATATCTGAGAGAAATATATTAGAGTTAAAAAAAGTAATTCCCTTTGTAAAATACTGACCTCTAGGCCTTCCATGGCCACTTTCCTGGCTTTGTAACTAGTGTAAGCCATTTGATCTCCACCTATAAGTTGGAGACCACTTATCTGAGCACCATTGCATGAAAAAGATAAAGTGCCCGAGAGCTCTTTTTTTAAACCATCAGAGACACTTGGCTTTAAATGCACATAAATATAGTGTCATGCTCAATAATGCAGTTTGTTTTAAAAATCTGAGGATCATCATGGTTGCTTCAGTTGTGGTTTGATAGAATGTCAGTAATGCACCAACTCATTTTATGAGACAAATTAATGTCAATAGTTATAACTTAAATATTCTTGCTATCTAGGTCAATAAAGACTCTCTTAAAGTTCATTCATATATTTCACATCTTAGGGTCCCGCTGGGGAACGTGGTGGTCCAGGACCTGCTGGACCTAGAGGTGTGGCTGGAGAACCTGGCAGAGATGGTGCCCCTGGAACTCCAGGAATGAGGGTATGGAGAAACTCTTGATTAAATGACATTGTAATTTCGGAAGAAAGTACTCAAGGGAAATGAAGATGGATCAAAGAGTAGTTAAATCCAAATACATCTTTTATAAGGCTCAGAGAAAATCAAAACAAAATTATTTTAAGAAAACAGGATAGATCTAGATCAAGGAGCTACACAATTAAACACTTGACTAAGATGATTTATAGACCAAAAGAAAAATGATGAGCAAATATGATGCTATATATGTAAATGAAAAATCTCAAAATTGTAGTAATAGGTTCTGCTGAATTTCTATTTTTTTAAATCTTCAATCACCTGAAAACTGACTTCTTTTTATTTAGGGTACGCCTGGAAGCCCCGGGGGACCAGGAAATGATGGAAAACCAGGGCCTCCCGTATGTACAATTTTAAAAATTCATTTTACTAACCCAGTTAAAAAAACATAATAGGTATTTGGGACTACATTTGACATAAGATATATCTTTGTCTGATTTTTGAGCTAACCTTGCTGAATGAAATTTTTCTTTTCCCTAGGGAAGTCAAGGAGATAGTGGGCGTCCTGGACCTCCTGGGCCATCTGGTCCCCGAGGTCAGCCTGGTGTGATGGGATTCCCTGGTCCTAAAGGAAATGATGTGAGTTCTTTCATTATCCTATCATTATCCTTTGTTACCATTATCCTTACCTTTAATAGGCGTTTGGCAGATAACAGACTTTCCACATGAGAATGTAAAGATGACCTAAACAGACTGCACTCTACATCACAGGAAAATGTATATGATGCATGTGTAAATGGTTATGAGCATGTGTGTGTGTGTGAAAGAGAGAGAGAGAGAAGCAGATTGAAAATTAGAAAAACCAAAAGATTACTGATTTTTGTTAGAATTAGTAAATGCTGTCTGCTTTTTTAGGGTGCTCCTGGTAAGAATGGAGAACGAGGTGGCCCTGGAGGACCTGGCCTTCCAGTATGTTGACATTTCTAATTATCTTTGGCCTTCTAATCAATACACTTATCTATCCCCAATATTCGGACTTCTCTGTGATCTCCATTAATCCCACTTCCCTGTTATTTTTAGGGTCCTCCTGGAAAGAATGGTGAAACTGGACCTCAGGGTCCCCCAGGACCTACTGTAAGTTTACTTATATAAATCAAAGAGCAAAGTAGGATTGAAGGAGGGAAGGCATTAGGCTTCAAAAAAACATATGATCTATGACTATATCATTACAGTTCATTAAATCAATTATGCCACTTGTTTTATTCACCCAGCTAGCTGCTGGCATTAAATGTATGTCATACCTGTCTGCTTTGGGTGACTTCCATAACCCAGGCATTTTTTCCCCTGTCTTCATATTCTTACTTTCTAAATTGAGACTTGCTGAGATGTCAACTCTACACTCACTATAAAAGTACATTTTATAATGGAATATGTTTTATAATATAATATATATAACATATAATATATTTTATAATGGAATATATTAATTATTGTATTTCTTGACATAGGGGCCATCTGGTGACAAGGGAGATGCAGGACTTCCTGGCCCACAGGGATTACAAGTAAGACCTTATTCTTTAAATGCCACTGGGTACTTGGGTTTAGCAGACAATTCTATGCTTTACATTCAAAGTTATTTTTCTTGAGTAAATTGACTATTCAAAGTTTCATGACCTACTAAATTGCAGTTCATTAGAAGTTTAATTGTGAGTCTGCCTGCCATACTTAAATAAACCAATCAACCAATGTTCTAAGTCTAAGCCATGATGCATATACTAGATTATTTTTAAAAATTAAGTTTATATAGTAGTTCCATATGCTCAACATTATTTTTATGATATAAATCTACACAGCTAAGTTCATCTTAACATATTCATTAATTATGTACATGTATGTATATCAACTGAAAATATAGATAAACACAAGTTTGTAATGTATCATTACCTCATTTCTATCACTGGAATCTTAATAGCTCAAAATGTATATTTTTGAAAGACTATGAAAACCATTTTTAATAGCTGGCATAGATATGCTTACATGTGAGAAGTGTGCTTACTTATGTTTACATTGTTTACATTTATATAAGCAATGCATAAAATCATCCTATAATACAAACACGATTCTTTGCAGGGCCTACCTGGTCCTGGTGGTCCTCCAGGAGAAAATGGAAAACCTGGTGATGCAGTAAGTAGCATTCTACTCATTACAATTCAGAAATCAAAAGAACAAATAGTAACAATCCTTTTGCATTTTTTGCATGCCATGATAATCTAAATTTTGACATTTAGTTTTGAAATATTATCAAACAAAGTATTTAAAATGTAAACCTTGAGAGTTTAATTTTTGCCATTAAGTAAAAAAAAACTGAAAGAAACGCAGATCCTCAAGATCTGAATAAACAAACAAAATCTGAATACACAAACAAATAATATGTGTGTGTAGTTTAGACTTACGTAACCACTATGATAAACATTTAATCATGTAACATTTTCCTCTCAGGGACCAAAGGGTGAAGCTGGTTCTCCTGGAGCTCCTGGAGGCAAGGTGATATTTCAATTTCTTATCTTCTCCAATAAGTGATACAACAATTGACTAGTAATACATTTTAGTGTGTCCAGCACAGCATTGCAAGTGTTTGTTGATTCCAATTAGAGAAATGCCAGACATTTATAATCTGTTAAATTCACTTCACTTTAAAGATTCTAGTTTTTTATATTAATAAGCAGTACAGAATTAGCCAGGTTGAAATATCCAAGGAAAAATACTGCTAATGATTGATTCTCTATAGGAAAGCTATTTTGATAAAGGAAGTTTGAAAATACTCTCTTCCAAATAATAAATGTTTCAAGGATGAATAGCATTTAAGTGGACAAATACCTATGTCCCCACACAACTAATCACCTGTTTTACAGCCATTACAAGTTCTACACAAGTACAAAAGTCAAGTTATGACCTACTGGCCCATGTCAAAAGTATACAATATTTATGATGTCTTTCTTTGGCTTTGGATCTTGGTTTTTTTTTAATGTGGATGCTATATGGTTCTATGACAGGGTGATGCTGGAGCCCCTGGTGAACGTGGACCTCCTGGGCTGGCAGGGACCCCAGGTGCTAGAGGTGGAGCTGGTCCCCCTGGTCCGGAAGGAGGAAAGGTAAATTTACAACGTTTATTTTTGCTAGACTGTCGAAAATGCATTTTCGTTCCCTTGTGATTTACTACTTACATTTGTAGGGCCCTGCTGGTCCCCCTGGGCCACCTGGTACTGCTGGTTCCCCTGGTTTACAAGGGATGCCTGGAGAAAGAGGAGGTCCTGGAGGTCCGGGTCCAAAAGGTGAAAAGGTAGTGAATTATTTTTTTTAACTCTATTATGTAATAAAACAGACATTGTTGATTAAGAGAAAAACCACCCTGTTGGAAAGTAACCTGTTTTCAAAGTTAACGTTATCATTTTATTGTAAGTGAAATTTGGAATGGCTTCCAAGAATGACTGAATTACACAACCTAGTATGCATCCCAACAAATCCCATGTTGATGCTTTTCTTGGCTGAGTTGCAGTGAGGGTGCTTGTACTGAAAGTATTGTACTGATCATATTTGTTTGACAGGGTGAACCAGGCAGTGCAGGTGCTGATGGTGTTCCAGGAAAAGACGGCCCCCGGGTGAGTGATCACATTTGGGAAAAATCAGCCTTAATTATGCATGGTATAGGACAGTTCCCTATTTTAAATTTTATTATTCCCCAAAGCTATGTATAATAAATGACACCATACCTTACCACCTTTACACTTTTTTAAAAACACTCAAAATCACTTGATTGTTTAAATGATTTAAAATAAATGTCATCTGCAGTGACCTAACAATGGTAAACTCTTAAAACTAAAATGAGAGCCATAAGTTAACAATATAAGTCACTATAATCAAATCACTATTGCTCATTAGATAGAAAACATTTTTTAAAAAATAAGAATTTTAATCTTATGCTGTGTTTGCAGCACAAAATACTCACTAGTAATATACATATATAAGTTATCAACCCCTGTAATGTATACAGACCTTAAGGGCATCAAGCCAAGTAATGAAAAACTAATCTCAAAAGACTATAAAATGTGTGATTCCTGTAGTATTCAGGAGATGGGGAACATACTAATGACTGCTGAGAGTTAGGAACTGGAGAGAGGGAGACAGATAAGACTTTGAAGAGGTGACTGCAGAGAACTGTGGGTGATGGTACATTTGGGTATATTGATAGTGAAAGTTATTAGGCCAGCTACCAATGTGATAAAATCTGGATAAAGCTACACATACATAACACACACACTCTCACATATACACACATATGAGTGCATATATATAACTGGTAAAATCTGTATGAATTGTTACAATGTCATTTTGATCTTATATATAGTTTTATAAATGTTAACATTAGAGAAAATTAAACCAAAAATGGTTTCTCTGTACGTTTATTAGAAATTTCCTTTGTATCGATAATTATTTTTTAAAAGATGTTTAAAGCAATAAAAATCATTCGATAGGCATTAAACATAGTTACCTCAGGCCATACGTATACTTATCACACATATCTTAAAATACTCATAGATATATTTCTCTTCACAGATTAGAAAGGTACCATTAAACTCTTTTTAAGAAAGGTGATTAGTTTGGGTGCAGTGTCTGTAATCCTAGCTACTTAGGGAGATAAGGAAGGAGAATTGAGTCTAGAAGTTGGAGGCGAATGTAGGCCACATAGTGATACTTCTCCTGAAAAAAAGTAAGATGCCTAACATTTCATTGATATAATATAGGTAATATTAATACATGAAATTTTGAGATTCAAAGATATAATATCTTCAAGTATATTTTGTATAATTAAATGAATTACTATAAATTTCAAGCAGCTGGATAAAGCACTGTACTTTGTTTTTGAAGATCTGTTACAATAAGATCTTATATCACATACTATTCATTTTCTTCAGTAGAATCAAAATAAAGGAGTGAGTAAACTATTGTTCAATTTTACTATTCTAGGACCATCACCAAGTGTTTACTAAACTCTTCAGTATTTTTCTGAGTAATAAACATATCCTTCAAGGCATGACAGAAATCATGTAATCTGCTTTATTAGATGAATGATTTGTTTATATACACCTGATTTGATTAATAAGAGAAATGGTCTTGTTTTCTCCAAAATTGTATAAATATGTATATATATTTATTTATATTTATATATATTTCCTTTAGGGTCCTACTGGTCCTATTGGTCCCCCTGGTCCAGCTGGTCAACCTGGTGATAAGGTAATAAATAACAATAATTGAAAATAAAAATAAAACACCTTTTGTTAAATGTACTAGACCCAAGGCAGTGGTAATATTGTTATTCATTTTCTCTTTTCTTAGGGTGAAGGTGGTGCTCCTGGACTTCCAGGAATAGCTGGACCACGTGGTGGCCCTGTAAGTATCAGAGATATTTTCAACATGTTCTAACCCTATATAAGCCTTTGCTGCTAGTACTTCCTGTTTTACCTGCCCTCCATGCCCCATTGAGGCTCAATTTTAGGATTCTATGTTTAATAATATACAGCATACAAGGGAATGTTAACTTTCTTAAATCTAAACTCCACAAGATATAAATTTTAAATTATGATCTTTTAAAGGAATAAGCTGGAGAACTATAATAATTGAACAAGGACAATATTTATTTGTACATGACTGTCTCTCAAACTTACAGAATTTTGATAGAGATTCCTTTTCAACATACAATTTTCTACCTAATCTCTCTATTTAATTAATTTTATTTATACAGTTCTCTACCTAAATCATCTATAATTTGCCATTTAATGATTAGGACTCAGGGTAGATGCATAGCAAAAATTTTAAGACAATTTATTATTTTCAATTATCCCACTTACATTTTAAATATTTATGTTTTACAGATTATATAAGTGTTTTAAATGGAAACACTTAATGTTGAAATACATTTTAAATTGTTTTCTTGTAAATAATAAACAGACACAGAGAGAATTCTTATTTCCATCATTGTTCACCCCTAGTTTTGTTGAGAAGTAGAGAGAAGTTCAGAAGTTAAGCCATGCTTCTTAGCACATTTCCTGATTAAAGGGAGAATGAGACAATGCAGGAGACAATGTGTACTCTGGTAGGAAATGATACCTTCCCTCTGACTAATGAGAAACTTTCCCATCCAGGGTGAGAGGGGTGAACTTGGACCTCCAGGACCTGCTGGCTTCCCAGGTGCTCCTGTAAGTATGAACACTTAAATCTGTCTCTCACTCAACCCAGTCACCATCCTGCTGAGAAAGTAGCAGACTTATACATTTGTCTTCTAGTCTTGCTTCTGTCACTTAGTTCTTTAGCAGTTATTTTAGCCTCGTTGTTTTATTTGCTTATTTTACCCCCATATTCAATCGTTAGACAATCAAAACAAAACTCCTGCCTCTGTTGAGTCTGGGTAATAAGGATAAAGCAACACCATGAATTTAAATCACCAAAAGTTTAAGCTTTTTCTATTACCAACTGATAGGATTGAAAATTTACTCTAAATCCATTTTTTCCTCAAGGGAATTCTCTGGTGCTCATTTTCAGATGCTTAATCCTAAGAAAGACTTTCTCCCCAAGGACAGATAGCATATACTTGCTCTGCTGATGATTGTCTTCTCTCACAGAAAGACTTTAATGAATATTCTGGGACATATGTTCCACGAGCCTCTTATTCTTCTTTGATTGAAGCAGCAGTTTTACTGCAAAGGGTACTAGCTTACTTGATGTTCATTTTGCATGCAGGGTCAGAATGGTGAACCTGGTGCTAAAGGAGAAAGAGGTGCTCCTGGTGAGAAAGGAGAAGGAGGAGCCCCTGGAGTTGCAGGACCCCCTGGAGGTTCTGGGCCAGCTGTAAGTCCTTTAGCTAAGCCTTCTCACAGAAAACACTTGGGTTTATCAACAATTCATTATTGCAAGTGAGATTGCTTTTCAAGCCATAGAGTGTAATTATCACAGGAATGTAATTCTAAATTTGCATCTTGGATCCCATTTCCTGGATATGAGCCCATTCAAGTCACTTTCATCTTTTTTTAAAATTTAATTTAATTTTCTTTAGTTGTGTAAAGGGGTTACCTTTCAACACAGCAGTTTATGAATACAGTGCATCTTGACCAATGTCACCGCTTCCAACTGTCTGACCATCCCTACCAAATCACCGCTTTCTTGGCTTTGTTAATTTTGTAGAATATACATCAAATTCCTGACTGCATTCTCCTCATTCTCCTCTTTGTTCATCAACCTCTGTCCCCCTGGACTCACCGCTTCCCTTTCCAGTCCTCACTTCCTGGTGTTTATTCTATTGAACTTTGCCTTTCGAAGAAATTACACCATTGGAGTTCTCCCTTGAATGGACCATATTCCGGTAGATTCACTTGTATACATATGCCTACCACCCAATGCATTTGCTTACATGTTTATAAGCTAATTTTAGCAACTTACTGTCTTTCAAAAACTTAATGCTTTTCAAATTTTTACTTTCAAATTTTTACTTTAAGGCTATACCTAATCCCCACCTCCTCCTACCTCTTCTTCCCAGGGTCCTCCTGGCCCCCAAGGTGTGAAGGGTGAACGTGGCAGTCCTGGTGGTCCTGTAAGTATTGAACGTCACATCTATTATACTTTGAACTATTTCAAAAGCATTTATTGGTACAAACCTGTATAAAGGCTATTCTAAAGACACTAAAGCCATACAGCCAGTATTTAATCATAATTACTCATTTATGAATTATGTGTAAGAAAAACGAACCATCAATTACTGCAAGGTGGAAAGCAGATCCTGTCATATTTCTGATAACTTAGATTTATTTTAGGGCTTGTTTGTTGTGTAATTCTATCTTTTGAAATTAGAAAAATGTGTTATCCTTCCACAGGGTGCTGCTGGCTTTCCTGGTGCTCGCGGTCTTCCTGGTCCTCCCGGCAATAATGTAAGTGCTTTTCAAAATCTCTTTCTCTCTCTCTCTCTCTTTCTCTCTCTCTCCCTCCCTCTCTCTCTTTCTCTCTCATTATGTGTTTCAGAAAGAATGTCCTATATCTGTAAGATTGAGGACCTTACACATTTCTATTTATCAACTGGGACCCATTATGAAATAGTTTCAACTTAGGCAAGAGGTAGAAGAAAAAGCTCATTTCTTCATGATAAATAATGCAGTTTCCGAACCTTCTTTATAGGGCAACCCAGGGCCCCCAGGTTCCAGTGGTGCCCCAGGCAAAGATGGACCCCCAGGCCCTGCAGGTAACAGCGGTTCTCCTGGCAACCCTGGCGTGGCTGGACCAAAAGGTGATGCGGGTCAACCTGGAGAGAAGGGACCACCCGGTGCTCAGGGCCCTCCGGTGAGTAGCTTCACTGTTCCATCGAGGGAAAGTACGATTTTGCCCCTCATCACAAATTCAATGAAAGAAAACACAGTCACATACAGAGAGCTGAATCTTCATTTTCTGTTCTAACAGGGAGCTCCAGGCCCACTTGGAATTGCAGGGATTACAGGAGCACGTGGTCTGGCTGGACCCCCGGGCATGCCAGGTCCCAGGGGCAGCCCTGGTCCTCAAGGTATCAAGGTGAGTGCTGTGATCTCTCACCAGACTCTTCCTCCCTTTGATAACGTTCGCAGATGGCTTCATATCAAATATGAAAAGGTTTCCTCAGATAAGTACAACTTATTCAAGAGATAACCTTTATTCTTGGTTTTTCGGAAACATGTTATTAACTGACTCTAGACTCCACAAATAATATAAATCATAGGCAAATTTTGAACAGAAACTCAAGTAAACTGATGTTACATAAAGATAATCTGGCCTTTTCAGACATCTCTGTTAGCAAAGTTGAGAGCCTTCTTCAGTCTTCGCTATTAGTCTTGAAAGGGAACTATGCTGAACTTCCGAATCTGTGAAAGATTTTAAGTGATGCTGAAGTCATTTTACACTTAATGATTGTCTCTCACTATCAAAACCTAGTCCTTTGCATTTAAATAACCATTCACTAAATGGTGTAATAGTACTCATGTTGTAACACTATTTCTACATCTCAGAATATACTCAAAATAATCAGTGTAACTACACATTCATTTGGCATCCTAAGTCACTGAGCAAGTAAATATATATAATATATATATGAAGCTTGCTCTCCCCATGGAAGGTATAGTGTTAAGAAAATAGGAATCCAATAAAAAAGAATTTTTCTCTGAGAATTAATGAGATCTGATAGAACAGTGTTAAGTAGTTTTTTAAATGAAAGGAAAATGTCTCTTATTCCTTTGTATAAAGGGTGAAAGTGGCAAGCCAGGAGCAAGTGGCCACAATGGAGAACGTGGTCCCCCAGGACCCCAAGGTCTTCCTGGTCTGGCTGGTACAGCTGGTGAGCCTGGAAGAGATGTAAGTAGCAATTCTAAGAGAATGTTCAACCAGTCAGAGTTGGGTCATATTTGTAAGGAAAGGTCCAAGGAGCCCTAATGCCAAACGATAAGTAAGACCATGTAGCAAAATTCCTTTCTTCTATACTAACCTTCTTTTTATGTTGAAACATAGATAGCCTCATACCCTTTAACATTTATCCCCAAATAACCACTCATGAGGAAAATGTGGATTCTAGCTAAATTAGGAAACAAGGTAGTGGAGAGAGGCTTAATTTACAATGGTTTTCTGGGTGAAAATATTTGAGGGGTTATATGTGCTCAGTCAATTTCTAATCATTTATTTAGTTTAAAATAAATGTTATTTTAAGCTTACAAATGATCATTACATACACTCATAGGGTTCAGTGAGATATTTTGAGATAGTGTGAAATAATTAAGTAAAGCTAATTTGTAGATGTTTATTATCAGTTTAGATGGCAATTCTCCTCTTCTATAAGTATCTTTTTTAGACTTTTTTCCTAATTACTTCCTTCATATGACATTGTGAGAATTTATTAAGACAGATTTATTACAGCAGTTCTGTGACTCTTTCAAAGGCCAAATCCCATTATAATAGCCACAATTTTTTTTGTCCCCTACTAATTTCCAACACCATTGAGAAATATGTGGCTCTGTCAAGAATACATGGCTTAAGTCATTACATGCTTGTAATCCCAGTAGAAGACTCGGCAAAAGAATCATGAATTTGAAGTTAGACTGGATTATAATGAGTCTTAGGACAGCCTCAGTACATAATAATTAGAGAGGAAGAGAAAAAGAGATAACAAGAGAGAGAGTCTTCTATAGTTTTGAGAAAATTGATTTCCTTTCTCTCTCTCTCTCTCTCTCTCTCTCTCTCTCTCTCTTTTTAATCAGGGAAACCCTGGATCAGATGGTCTCCCAGGCCGAGATGGATCTCCTGGTGGCAAGGTATCACAATTAAGCATACAGTAGGCTTGTGTAATTAAAGCAAGTGATCATCATATTGAGGTTGGATCTGCTGATTTTGTTCCCAGGGCGATCGTGGTGAAAATGGCTCTCCTGGTGCCCCCGGTGCTCCAGGCCACCCAGGCCCACCTGGTCCTGTTGGTCCAGCTGGAAAGAGTGGCGACAGAGGAGAAACTGTGAGTTCAAATAAGCACCATTTTTTAAATTTTTTCTTTCTTTTTTGTCAGTGTGAGGCTTGAATTCTGGGCACCGTCCCTCACCTCTTCAACTCAAGGCTAGCACTCTATTACTTGAGCCACAGTGCCACTTCTGAGGTTTTTGGTGGTTAATTGGAGATAAGTGTCTCACAGGCTTTCCAGCCTGGCTGGCTTTGAACTGCGATCCTCAGATCTCAGCCTCCTGAGTAGCTAGGATTACAGGCGTGAGCCACAGGAGCTGGGCTGCACCATCTTTGTGTGAGTGTGTATTTCTCTCAATGAATACATTCTCACAAGAAGACATCTGTCTTCCACCCCCCACAAAATCTTGCTGTCACTTACGTTACAATTCTTAGGAAAGTCATTCTTAGGCAAATGCCTAATAAAACAGAAGATTCTGGCAGTCACCAGTGAAGATTTCCTTGCTAAAATATGACACAGTATTAATCAGAACAGAGGAGATGTAGTCTGAATTAATAGAACCTTTTCAAGCTTTCCTGTGTAGATGTAAACAAAGGACAAGACAATATTAATTTCTAAAAATAGTATGCATGTTTCTCTGCAGTCACAATGAAATTATTAACTTTTTAAACACCAAAATGGTATCAATGCCTATAGTAACTCCAGATGTGTTTCCTGTGTCATTTGTTTCTGTTGTAGGGTCCTTCTGGTCCATCTGGTGCTCCAGGTCCTGCTGGTGCCCGAGGTCCTCCTGTAAGTTTTGTCTTAAAAAAATGTGATTGGCATTTCTTTTTAACCCATTCTAAAATGTAGCAGATATTCTATTTTCTGGCATGCTCAAGAAAATAAGACAATATAAATAATTTTGGAACTAATATAAATGACCACTTTTGGTGATATAGAAAACAGTTCTGATTTTAAATGTTCCTTGGGGTAAAGGATTTAAGCATCAATTATGGGGATTCCATACAATTGGCCATCTGAAAGCAAAGCAGCCACAACACACACACACACACACACACACACACACACACACACACACACACACTTACACATGTGTCTATTGTTCCACATATGAGGTATTGGTGATGGGGATTTCTAGCTAATATGCATTTTTTCCCAATATGCATATGGCTGTGATCTTAATTTGAAATATATTTCTAAAGGGTCCCCAAGGTGCACGTGGAGACAAAGGTGAAACTGGTGAACGTGGATCTAATGGCATCAAAGGTCATCGAGGATTCCCAGGCAATCCAGGACCCCCAGGTTCTCCAGTAAGCGCAGCCATTGTTTGTTACAAAATCTCTGACTAAATTTCAGCTGGTGAGTGAGGCGAATATTAGAGCCTCATAGTAGGATGTTTTTCATCCCAGAAAGTACATGCTGGAAGAAATGAGAAATGGATTTCCCCACGTACTTGATAAAATCAAGAACAGGAGATGGAAGAAAGATCAAATTATGGAGGCCAACCTGATCACCATGTTTCTTGTTCTGGTCTACAGGTTCAGTTTCTGAAGTGATTTCTGTCTTGTTTTGTTTTGTTTTCTAGGGTGCTGCTGGTCACCAGGGTGCAGTTGGAAGTCCAGGACCTGCAGGCCCCAGAGTAAGTATCTCAGAAATACACTGGAAGATCCCTGTTTTAAAATATTTGTACAACCAGCATGTATTCTAGTATTGTGATACACCATGATTACTTTTTAGGGACCTGTTGGACCCCATGGGCCTCCCGGCAAAGATGGAACAAGTGGACACCCAGGTCCCATTGGACCACCAGGGCCTCGAGGTAACAGAGGAGAAAGAGGGTCTGAGGTAAGACATCACTTATTGATCTGCCTATTCAATTTGCTATAACCTTCAAACTTTGAGAAACTATGCAGTGTTTTTAAATGGAGTTATTAAATTGAATGCAATGTAATAATTTAATTTAGGAATTAAAAGATACTTTAAAATATTTTTGATCTCATGGAGAAATTTTAAAAGTCATCATATAGTATACTTCAATAACTTATTTCACAGTAATGGCATCTCACATAACCAAATGAATGATACTAGTGTTGGTCTCACATTTAACCTCTGTCAGTTATTATCATGATAATGATTGCACATATGCAATGCATTTTACTTTTCAAAACATTCTTTTTTAAAGTTTTCCATTTTTTAATTTATTTTTTATTGTGAAAATACTATACAGAGTGGTTACAATTTCAAAACATTCTTAATCTCTATTTTACTGGTATTACCATTTCTAATGCCTTCTGACCTGAAACCTTGGGCAAAATTGATTAGAAACATTTTCTCTACAAATTGCATATAAGATATCTGGAACTAATAAGCTAAGTGATCAACTCAAGGATACTAATCATAAATTTGGAAAAAGAATCTAGGAAGCCTAACTTTATTCCCTCTAACTCAAGCCTGTCATGTCAATATTTAGGTGTTGCTTCTTAGCTGTTGGCTGACTTTACTTAGAAGGAATTTTAGAATAAAATTTGTACTTAAACCATACTGATTCTCTCAGAGTGAAATAATACATATGTTGGTGATGAAGTAAAGATTGGTTATATTACTATAAGAGCACAGAAATAAATCTTTATTAAAATAATTATGTCATGTTGTGTGAATTGTCTTTAATGTCTTTCCCTGGAATAGTGGCATATTCCTCAGTGATGTATGCTTTACCCAATTCTAGGGCTCCCCAGGCCACCCAGGACAACCAGGCCCTCCTGGACCACCTGGTGCCCCTGGTCCTTGCTGTGGTGGTGGAGCTGCTGCCATTGCTGGAGTGGGAGGCGAAAAGTCTGGTGGCTACGCACCGTACTATGGAGATGAACCAATGGACTTCAAAATCAACACAGAAGAGATCATGTCTTCACTGAAATCTGTGAATGGACAGATAGAAAGCATCATTAGTCCTGACGGTTCTCGTAAAAACCCAGCGCGGAACTGCAGAGACCTGAAATTCTGCCATCCTGAACTCAAGAGTGGTAAGTTTGAGAGTTTTTAGCAAGCATGGCAACATGCTGCTCATGTTAGAACTTGACAGAACATTGGTTCTGGAGATGGAAAACATTTTGAATCCAAAATACAATTTAAGTGATCACTAATTGAATTGAAAATGTTTGACGTCATAAAAAAACAATCTGCAGATATATTTGAAGTGAAACATAATTTAAAAATATTTTGAATATAGAAAAGCAGTTTTGTAGACATTTTAATACAAAACATAGTTTGGGCATATTTTTGAATACTTTCATAAACAAAATGATTTGTGTGACAAAGTAGTTATATCTCATTGTGTTCTTAGGATGAAGTATACATAATTGTATTTTATGTTAATTTATTTTCTAATATTCTGTAGTTCTTTTGAATTTATGAATTTTTATATTTATTACTATTTAAGTTATTGTAATAATTACTAAATTTTCAAATTTGGAACCAAATGAGCTTTCCAGAGTAGTATATAAAATCGAATAGGATATTGCAATAATCTGAGACTTTTCATATCGACATTAGTTCTTTCAGAAAAGCAAAATTATTTCGAGCTTTCAAATATATTGACCTGGTTTAGTACCTTTACTCAGAAATTTCTGGAAAATACTTAAAACAGAAAACCAAAGTCAGTTTGGATAGCATATATTGACACACCTTAAGCAAAATTGCATTAAAGGTTTAATCATCTTTTAGAAAGAAGCTATCTTAACAGATACAATACCAATCAATATTTCTTGACTCAAATTATCACCATTGTTCAAAATCAAGTCATTATATTTCAGTACTGCCTATATTTATAACCAAGTTTTTAATCTCAGCAATTTCAGTCTAAACATGCATCTCTCTATATAAAGTATAAATACATTAGCAGTCAAAACTGTGAATGTCTCACCAAATAAGCAAAATCATTCTGGTGTTGTTTTATGACTACATCTTTTATAAGCAATTTCCATTGTCCCTCGTTCATGACTTCTCAGGAGAGTACTGGGTTGACCCGAACCAAGGCTGCAAGATGGATGCCATTAAAGTTTTCTGTAATATGGAGACTGGGGAAACATGTATCAGTGCCAGTCCTGCGAGTGTTCCACGTAAGAACTGGTGGACAGACTCAGGTGCTGAGAAGAAACATGTTTGGTTTGGAGAGTCTATGGATGGTGGCTTTCAGGTAAGAAAGGATATATCCTATAAAACAAGTCATCTTTACTTACCTAACATTTTTGCTCCTTCAGTCTTCAGAAGTTACTGAGTTACTAAACAGAAGCCAAATGATTTTAGATATTCAGATGAGTATATGTTCATAACTTTTGCCACTCAATGAAAGCTAAACCACTGGGAATTACTTTGCATGCAAACATTGTTCTAGTGATCTTTAAGACATTCACTGTGACATTCTCTCTCTCTCTATGAATTATCTATATATGAATATATAGAGTATATATATGAATGTGTGAATATACATGAATTTAAACTTAACTCAGTTCTACTTGTACCCATTACAGTTCAGTTATGGCAATCCTGAGCTTCCTGAGGATGTCCTGGATGTACAGTTGGCATACCTTCGACTTCTCTCCAGCCGGGCTTCCCAGAACATCACATACCACTGCAAGAATAGCATTGCATACATGGATCAGGCCAGTGGAAATGTGAAAAAAGCCTTGAAGTTGATGGGGTCAAATGAAGGTGAATTCAAAGCTGAAGGAAATAGCAAATTCACATACACAGTCCTGGAGGATGGTTGCACTGTAAGTAACAAAAGCTTTATATTCAGGGATTATAATTCACTCAGAAATTCTAGTGTAATCATTCAATTTTTTTTTTCTGGTCCTGGTCCTTGAACCACTGTCCCTGAAAGTCTTTGTGCTCAAGGCTAGCACTTTACCACTTGAGCCACAGTGCCACTTCTGACTTTTTTGAATAGTTTATTGGAGATAAGAGTCTCATAGGAACTTCTATGCCCAGGCTGGCTTCGAACAGTGATCCTCAGATCTCAGCCTCCTGAGTAGCTAGGATTACAGGTGGGAGCCACCAGCACCCAGCTCAAAAAACTTTTAAAAGAAAAAATAAAAATAATTGAGTAAACCAAATATATCATATATTAATTATATAGCATCTTCTGTTTCATAGAATATTAGATACTAAAGCAATTCAGATTTTAATTTCCAGATGGAAACTGGTTGTTATAAGAGTAAATGAAATATAAATCCATAATAACTTAACGAGATAACTGGCATGGTTCTTATTCAATCTTAATAATATACATCATATGAATTAAATCTCAAATTATCTGTTCTTTTACAATATAAGGTAAATTTCAAATTTTTATCACCATTTAATGAATGAAGAAAGAAATCAGTTCTAGGGTTAGAAAATGTCATTGTGGGTAACCTACCACTTTTTAGTCAATCAACTATAGGCCTGGTAGCAACGACCAGGACCAGGCCTCCAGAAAGCAGGCTGGATTAAGGAAATAGCCTTTATGTATTTAGCCTAAAGTTTCATATGGTTTTTGATTTTAAGAATGTTGCTTATCAAGTAGGAGTATTAAAACTTGAAATGACAGGTCTCTTATGTACAGAATATAATATGACATATTGATTATTCCTTTGATGCAAAAAGGTTTTTCAACTTGATCCACTGGAGGAGTTATCTATATAATTATTGTATTATAATCATCTATTCATTTTGGCTCTTTCTACAGAAACACACTGGGGAATGGAGCAAAACAGTCTTTGAATACCGAACACGGAAGGCCATGAGATTACCTATTATAGATATTGCACCCTATGATGTTGGTGGTCCTGATCAAGAATTTGGTGTGGACGTTGGCCCTGTTTGCTTTTTATAAACCAAACTCTCTCTGAAGCCCCAGCAAAAAAATTGCATTCCATATGTGTTCTTATTGTTCTAATCATGTCAACCAGTACAAGTGACCAACTAAATTCCAGCTATTTATTTCCAAAATTTTTGGAAAGAGTGTAATTTGACCAAAAAAGATACCATGTTTTTGCTGTTCCTCCAATACAGTTCAAATGCCTTTTCTTTTATTTTTTTATCAATTCCAATTTCAAAATGTCTCAATGGTGCTATAATAAATAAACTTCAACACTCTTACAATAACATTGTGTTACCTTCTTTGGATCCTAGGCCATGTTCAGAGCAATGACTATGCTCGCCAGTAAAAGAAAATCTTTCTGAAACAATCAAACATGAAATTAAGAATGACCTCCCTACATCAACTACCTCAACTGGTCAGATAAATTCCAAGATCCCCAAAGACTGAGCAATTTGTAGAAATTGGCCAAACTTATTAAAATTTGTTGATTAATATCCTAAATACTGGTAAAAATTATATTGTGGTGGAAGAACTGAAAGAAATATTTCTAAACCACAACCACTTTAATCTTAGATATAAAGTGCTTTCAAAGGTGCTGCTCCCTTTTCTTGTCATTGTTGGTAAAGGTCACCAAGATTTGGGAAGGCTTTAAAGACACATGTTATGGTGCTAATGTACTTTTACTTTCAAAACTCAACATCAAAATTGTTGTCCTGAATTCAAAGCATAAATGCACAATATCTGTACTTGTCTTCTGTCACAAAGAGTAATTGGCATGTCACAGAGAGCTCTTTCCCCTTACCTGTGAAAGTCAACAACAAAAAACAAATATAGGGCTGCTTTTGTCACAATAGCACAGACAATGTCCTAAAATTTTTGTAAGCTTGTATGTGGTTGTTGATCTTTCTTTTCCTTACAAGACACCCATAATAAAATATCATAATGAAACATTGCTGGTTTTTGTCACTTTTCCCAGATTTAATAACCTTACGCTAGTGATTTTCTTTTACAAGTGGATCAAATTCTAACTTTACCAATTGATAATGGTGATGATTTAAGAATGAGAGACAAGATATAGTTAGAATCGAGTTAGTGCTCACCAGGAAATCCTGTAGTTTTTAGGTAATATTTAATAGAACTTCTGCAGCATTAATCAAAATTAGGGTATTATGTTCAAATGGTTCAATCCCTCAGAGTCAGGGTTTTCCCAAGATGGGAGTTAGCAGAGAGGAAAATTCTGATAATATAACAGAAAGTGCTATTCTAGCCTTGAAACTCCTTAATAGTAAGGAAAAAAAAAGACAAGTAACACATGATTTTACCTAGAATTTAGAATTTAGAAATTTAGAATTTAGAAATCTAGAAAAGTCAGACTCAGAAGAGTGTGATGTAGCTTTGGGTCAGATGAGGTTTAAAAGATGTTCGTCAAATGATACAAAGTTTTAGTTAGATAACAAGAACAAGTTCAAACGTCTATGTTGTGCAACATGGTGAAACCACTACACTATATTTCTAAACCGTTGTCTATATTTTCAATTTTTTTGGAGGGAGAATCCTTTTAAAGTTTTCTAATCTTAAAATAACGATGAGTTAGCGTATGTGAATCAGCTCAATCTACCCATTCTGCAATGTATACTGATTTGAAAACATCATATGCATATGATAAATATATACAAATTTTATTTGTCCATGAAAAAATAAGCAAACATCTCTAAAACTATTCAAAATGATTGCAAGGCATTTTCTATGAACTGCTCCATTGGTTTCTTGGGCCAGACACTTCTCTAGCTTGAAACTGTTATTAATTTAGTTATCAAAATAAAAAATCATTACTGCATTTTATACTTGATCTTATGATTTATATAAGTAGGAAAAATAATGTTTTGTTTTTAAAAATTGCAGCAGTTATACATCAACCTAGAAGCAGTCAATTTGAACAGTCTCTGGTATATCTTTCTAGACATCTTATTTACATGGAAATATTTGTCTTATTTTATATGCATAAAGAAAGCTGAGGGTGTTGAAAAAATTTATGTAGGCATTTGTTTCATAAGAAATTTCTATACTTATAGGATCCCTATAAGTCCATAAGACAGCCCCTACCCAGTAATATCACATATGATGTGAAAATAGCCAGAGACAAGACTTTTTAGTTCAGAATATTATGTCAAATACTAAGCTTAATATAAATAAAATAATAACATGAAAATAAGATCCTTTACTTTATAAACCCACGGGACCAATAAAGAGACGATCTCCTTAATTTTTGGTGTGGGAGGTGGATCTTTAGGATAATACATCTACACAAAAGGCTTAGATCATTCAAACAAATGACAAATTATCTAGGCCATATCCAAGGGAAGTAACCCTTGACTAAAATTGTAAAAAGGCATATAAAAGGCCTTCTCAATACTACGCCCATTACAGAACAGCTCAAAATTTACTTAAAAGTAGGCTGGGTTTTATAGGCTTTGGGTCTCTGGCTTTAGGACGACAACTAAGACCTTTTTGGGGTTTTTGTTTGGTGTTTTGTTTGGTGTTTTTTTTTTTTTTTTTCGGGTCATGGGGCCTGAACTCTGGGCCTGGGCGCTGTCTCTCAGCTCTTCAGCTCAAGGCTAGCGCTCTACCACTTGAGCCACAGCGCCACTTCTGTTTTTCTCTGCTTATGTCGTGCTAAGGAATTGAACCCAGGGCCTCACGCATGCGAGGCAAGCACTCTACCACTGAGCCACCTTCCCACCCTCCTTTTTTTAAATAACTTTTTTATTGTGAAAATATTGTACAGAGGGGTTACAATCACATGAGCAAGCATTGTTGCCTCCTCCTTTGTTTTCCCTTCCCATCCCTTCCCACCCACCTCCACAACTACATTCGTCCCCTCCCTCCCAGCCCCCCCCACCCAAATTGTAAAGTTTGTTTTTCGACATTGTTGCAATGGGTCCACCTGTATTCCTATTTTAAAGATTTGTTTTTTCCCTTCCCATCCACAAATTATACCAACATTAAATACAGTGAAAGCAGGGGTTATACCATGGGGGAGGGACATAAAAAGCAACAAAAAAATCACGTGGTACCTCATAAATACGTTAGAAACAATAGCAAGCAAGAAAAAAAAAAAACACTGGTGTAATTTTTTTTTTTTTTGGGTCGCTCATGGGGCTTGAATTCTGGGCCTGGGTGCTGTCCCTAAGCTTTTTAGCTCAAGGAGAGCGCTCTACCGCTTGAGCCACAGCACCACTTCCGGTTTTCTGGTAGTTAATTGGAGATAAGAATCTCATGGATTTTTCTGCCCCAGCTGGCTTGGAATTGCAATCCTCAGATCTCAGCTTCCGGAGTAGCTAGGATTTATAGGCCTGAGCCACCTGCGCTCAGCTAACAAAGACCTTTTAAGAGGCAAGCCAGAACCAAATAGTAAACACCTGGGGTGAACTGGAAAACAAGAAAAATCCTCTCAGATTTAAATGTTTATTGGCATCTGCCCCAGCCCTAAAATTTCCAGATTTAGTACACTTTCTTTAAATATGACACAAATAGGTAGGCCATGACATTAAATTTTTTATTTAAAAGTGAAAGGCAAAATTCTATATTCTGTAGTTTTTCAAAACTATTAGATGCTGTTCCATATGGATTTACATTTCAGAAATAAAACCTATTTCTCTTAAGAACTTACAATAGAAACAGCCAGATTCATTAAGGAGTAAGAAATCTTATCCCTGTGAATCATGGAAAATCAAACTTCTCCAAGTGGCATTCATAATTGTCCATAGTGTCGCTGTGAACTTATTTTAACTATTACATCAAAAATAGAAGAGAGTTGGATATAGATTGCCATCTTTACCATCAATATGGACCTATATGTTTCTGTAAATGACAGGTATACTCAACATGTTTCAGCTATGCTTACTGTTTCTATGATTCCTTTACTCCCCCACTCCTCTCTCACCCTCAAAGAATCTTATTTGCTTGGTGCCATTGGCTCATGCCTATCATCCTAGTTAGTCAGGAGGCTGAAATCTGAAAATGGTGGTTGAAGTTACCCAGGAAGGAAAATCTATGGGACTTTTATCTCCAATTAAAAGTGGAAGATCTATGGGACTTTTATCTCCAATTAAAAGCGGAAGTAGAGCTGTAAGTCAAGTGTTAGAGTGCCAGCCTTAAGCAAAAAGGCTCAGGGACAGCCCCTGAGTTATAGCCCTAGGACCAGCACAAAATATAATAAAATAATCCTCTCAGCTATCCATATGGGAAACTATCCTTAGAGAATGATTTTTCACACATATTTCTTTTAGTGAACAAATTCCATATTAGCATAAAGAGTAACTTGCTGTGCTCTGATAATGTCTATCTTCTGACCTTTATCCTGGAAGCCTGACAACTAAATTTCCTGCCAACTCAATTTCCTCTAAAATCTCCTTAATTAGATCTCAAAACAACTTTTTTTCCTTTTTTCCCATATAGGGCATAACAGCCCACTCTCAACAGAAAGCAACTGTAGAAGATGACCATCACACCACCTCCCCTTTTAAGATTCAAAGAGACCAAAGTCATTTAGGGAGGAAATGAGCAGGATATATAGGGTGAGGAGATAGGGAATTAATACTATTTTTAACAAATACAAAAACGGCCAGACTCAGAAGTTGAAACCAGAAAGCAACTGAAAAAGCATTTAAGCTTATTTTTCCCCAAATTTCTAAATTATGAAGACTAGAAACCTAAAAGGGACTATATAAATCCATCCTCTCCTTCACATGATAAAATGTTGGCAATCTGAAAATGAATAGCGATAGCAGGAGGAGAAGTTTATCTGGGGAAAGAAAGCCCAAAGCTTATCTTATTATCTAAATAGACCCAGAAACATCTCCATACTTTAAAACTAAAAAAGCACCTATCTTGGTCACCCAAAACCATTGTCAAATGGTTGGCAGTTACTAGATGACATGAACAAATGTATTCTTCCACCTCAATAAGAACGGAGGAGGCAACAATGCTTGATAAGAAATGTACTCATTACCTGGCTCATGTAATTGTAACCCCTCTATTTGGTATTTTCACAATAAAAAAAACTTACTAATTTTTTTAAAAGAAAAGTAGCAACAAGTAATAACTGCCATTTTTGAGTCTTTTACTCTTACTTTATTCATGGAGACCAGGAAATGTTGTTCTCTCTCCTCTCCTCTCTCTCTCTCCCTCTCTCTATTGCTCCAAACTTTAATCCTATTATACTAAAGAAAATCTTTGCTGAAGCTTTCAAAAAAATTAAACCCCCTTAATCCCTACCTAGTTT